ATTGGGATGTTACTTTCGAGCTGGCATCAAAGTAGTATCCCATCGTAGTTCGAGCGAAGTCGAACTCATGCTTTGGTTGATGGCCTTGGCCATTAGGATGTTACTTTCGAGCTGGCGTCGAAGTAGGATCCCGTCGTAGTTCGAGCGAAGTCGAACTCATGTTTTTTTTTGTCGATGGACTTAGCCATTGGGATGTTACTTTTGAGCCGACATCAAAGTAGGATCTTGTCGTAGTTCGAGCGAAGTCGAACTCATTTTTTTGTCGATGTCCTTAGCCATTGGGATGTTACTTTCGAGCTGGCGCTGAAGTAGGATCCCGTTGTAGTTCGAGCAAAGTCGAACTCATGCTTTTTTTGTCTATGGCCTTAGCCATTGAGATGTTACTTTCGAGCTGGCGTCAAAGCAAGATCCCGTCATAGTTCGAGCGAAGTCGAACTCATGCTTTTGTCGATGGCCTTAGCCATTGGGATGATACTTTTGAGCTGGAGTCGAAGTAGGATCCCGTCGTAGTTCGAGCAAAGTCGAACTCATTTTTTTGTCGATGGCCTTAACCATTAGGATATTACTTTCGAACTGGCGTCGAAGTAGGATCCCGTCATAGTTCGAGCGAAGTCGAACTCATGCTTTTTTTTTGTCGATGGGCTTAGCCATTGGGATGTTACTTTCAAGCTGGCATCGAAGTAGGATCCCGTCGTAGTTCGAGCAAAGTTGAACTCATTTTTTTGTCGATGGACTTAGCCATTGGGATGTTACTTTCGAGCTGGCGTCGAAGTAGGATCCCGTCGTAGTTCGAGCGAAGTCGAACTCATGCTTTTTTTGTCTATGGCCTTAGCCATTGGGATGTTACTTTCGAGTTGGCGTTGAAGTAGGATCCCATCGTAGTTCGAGCGAAGTCGAACTCATGCTTTTGTCGATGGCCTTAGCCATTGGGATGTTACTTTCGAGTTGGCGTCGAAGTAGGATCCCGTCGTGGTTCGAGAGAAGTCAAACTCATGCTTTTGTCGATGGCCTTAGCTATTGGGATATTACTTTTGAGCTAGCTCGAAGAAGAATCCCGTCGTAGTCAACATGAAGTCGAACTTGTATTTTTGTCGATGGCCTTGGCCATTAGGATTTTCATTCATACATTGGAGATTTGATTATATTCCTATAGGAAATACATGTTGACTTTGTACATACAATGGAGATTTGGCTATCTATACCTAGTCCCTTCATTACTCAGCCTGGAGATCACGTCGACGGGCAGGGTAATGAACAATACTTCGGACCTCGAGACGTCCCCCTTGCTGCCTCATTAGAAACCTCACCAAGAAAACCCGATTGGTACAAAACTAGGATGAGGGAAAAAGAGTACGACTTAGGTGGCGCCTCTTTTCAGAAATAGAAGTATTTGAGATGGGTGACATTTCAATTGTTTTGGAGTAGTTTTCCTTCTATTGTCTCTAACTGGAATGCTCCTTTGTTTGCTGCCGCCGTGATTTTGTATGGCCCTTCCCAGTTTGTTCCCAATTTTCCCTCATTAGGGTCTTTCGTTGTTTGTGTTTTAGCTTTGAGGACATATTCTCCAACCTTGAGCGGTCATACTTTGGCCTTCTTGTTATAGTACCTTTCTGCCTGTTGCTTTTGGACTACTATTCTTACGTGGTTCATATCTCTTCATTCTTCGACTTCATCCAGATCTTGTAGCCTACTTTCGTCGTTGCTTGGTGCACTTTCGTTGGAGTATCTCAGGCTAGGTTCTCCGACTTCGACGGGTATAACCGCGTCAGTCCCGTAAACTAGCGAATATGGCATCTCGCCTGTGCTAGTTTTTGGCGTAGTGCGGTATGCCCATAGTACTTCTGGTAGTAGTTCAGGCAATAGCCCCTTGGCATCCTCGAGCTTCTTTTTCAATATATTTAGTATCATTTTATTGGAGGATTTGGCTTGGCCGTTGCCGGCGGGATGGTATGGTGTGGACAGTATTCTCTTGATGTGCCATTTTTCAAAAAACTCAATCATTTTCTTTTCGACAAACTGAGGTCCGTTGTCGCAACTGATTTCTTTAGGAATGCCGAAGTGACATATTATATTTTTCCATATGAACGCGATAACTTCTTGCTCACGTATTTGGGTGTATGCACTTGCTTCCACCCATTTAGAAAAATAGTCAATTAAAACCAAAAGGAAGCGTACCTTACCTCGTCCTGCTGGGAGGGGTCCGACAATATCCATCCCCAACTTTATGAATGGCTATGTAGAAGGCAGAATGCAGGAGTTATCTTGCTTGGTGTATCATATGGGCGTATTTTTGACACTGTTCGCACTTCCTGACATAATCTGCGGCTTCTTTTTTCATGGTGGGCCAGTAGTACCCGACGCGGATGAGGCATCTGACAAGGGCACAGTTTCCCGTATAGGTGTCGCAGTGCCCCTCGTGTACTTCTTCTAGTACTTGCCTTGTTTGATTTGGCCCTAGACACTTGGTTAGGGGGCTGCCAAACGTTCTTTTGTAAAGATCACAGTTTACGAGGCTGTATCTCGTTGCCTGTATTCGAAGCTTTTTGGCTTCTTTATTATCTTATGGGAACGTTCCATCCTGAAAATATGTTACGATATGGTTGCGCTAGTCCCAAGTTAGGTTTACAAAATGTACCTCGACCTGGTCTATTGAGGAATGGAGAAGAGTGACTATGTTTTCCTTGTTGATATTTCTGGTGGCTGCCGCTAGCTTGGCGAGACCGTCTGCTTCGATATTCTGCACCCTGGGTATCTGGTCGAGGCGACATTCGTCAAATTCTGGCAGCAGTTTGTGAATTTTTGACTGGTACTTTTGCAGTCTCTATTCTTTTATTTGGAAAGTTCCAGTGACTTGGTTCACTACGAGTTAAGAGTCGCAATGGAGAACGAGTTGTCAAGCGCCATATTTGAGGGTTAATTTCAATCCTGCAATCATAGCTTCATAATCGACCTCGTTGTTAGTAATCTCAGGGCATCGTATGGACTGGCGAATTACTTTACCCGCGGGAACCTTGAGGATGAGTCCCAATCTCGATGCGATGCATTAGATGCGTCGTCGGTATAAAGGACCCAAAGGTCGGAATGTGCGAAAGCGCAGAGCGCCTCCTGCTCTACTTCAGGCAATACTTTCGTGCTGAAATCAGCAACGAAATCGGCGAGCACTTGCGACTTTATAGCAATTCGCGGGTGGTATGTTATATCGTTTTCACTTAATTCTATAGCCCATTTGGCCAACCTACCCAATAGTTCGGGTTTGTGTAGGATGCCCCTGAGGGGGAAGGTTGTCACCACCTTTATGGGGTGACATTAAAAATATGGTCTAAGCTTTCGTGAAGCTACGACTAATGCCAGAGCTAGTTTCTCAAGGTGGGGGTACCTTGTTTTGGCATCAACTAAGGTTTTGCTGATATAATAAATTGGAGATTGCGTACCTTTGTTTTCGCAGACTAGAACTGCACTTACTGCGACTTTGGAGATTGGTAGGTACACTAAGAGGCATTCGCCCGGGTCTGCCTTGACAAGTAGTGGTGGTGAGGACATGTATGCTTTCAGTTTTCTTAAGTTGTCAATGCATTCTGAATTCCATTGTAGCCCGTGATCCTTTCTTAGTACATTAAAAAACTTATGGCATATGTCTGACGATCGTGAGATGAACCTCGACAAGGCGGCTATTCGCCCTGTCAATTTCTGTACCTGTTTTTTGCTAGTTAACGTCTCCGGTATTCCGTCGATGACCTTGATCTGATCCGGGTTGACTTCGATACCCTTTTGTGACACCAAGAAACCAAGGAACTTTCTTGAGGTTACACCAAAGGCGCATTTATCGGGATTCAATTCCATCTTGTATCGCCTCAATATTTCGAAGGCTTTCTTTAGATGACCAATGTGATCCTCCTTCCTTTTCGACTTCACCAGCATGTCGTCGATGTAGACCTCCATAGTCTTTCCGAGTTGTTCTTTGAACATTTTGGTGACTAACCTTTGATACGTCGCCCCTGCGTTTTTGAGCCCGAACGACATGACTCTGTAGTAGTATGTTCCTTGATGAGTGATGAAGTTGGTCTTTTCTTGGTCTTCTTCTTCCATTAGAATTTGGTTGTAACCAAAATAGGCGTCTAAGAAGCTTAATAGCTCGTGCCCCACCGTTGTGTCGCTGAGTTGGTCGATATGTGGTAACGGAAATGAATCCTTCGGGCACGCTTTGTTCAGGTTGGTGAAGTCGACACACATCCCCCACTTCCCGTTTTTTTTTACTATGACCACATTGGCGACCCACTGAGGATACTTCGATTCTCGGACGGAGCCATTAGAGAGCAACTTATCAACTTCTTCACTGACTGCATCGTTGATTGTGGCGTTGAACTTTCTCCTCATTTGCCGCACTGGCAGGTAAAGAGGGTCGACATTCAGCCTGTGTGTGGCGATGTCCCTTGGGATTCCCGACATATTTGAATGGTAAAAGGCAAAACAATCGGCATTGTTAGTTAAGAACTCTTGAAACTTACCTGGTTCTGAGAGGTTGTGTCCGATATAAGCAATCTTCGTGCTGTAAGTATTGTCCAACTAAATGGGGTCGAGGTCTTCTACGGTTGCCTTGCAAGCTTCGATGACATTTGGGTCTTTGATGGCCTCTATTTGTATGTTGGATTTGGTTCCCGATATGGCTGATTGTTATGCTTCCGCACTTGCCCCCTTTAGTTGTTGGGTGTATGTGCAGTCTTGGGTGGTGCGTTGCTCGCCCCGGATGTTGAATATCCCCCATGGGGTAGAAAACTTGATTACTTGATAGAAACTTGACGGAACTGCTCGCATGGCGTGTATCCATGGACACTCTATAATGGCGTTGTAGGTTGTTTCCTGGTTCATGACGTGAAACGTCATTTCCATAGTGACTCCTCCTTCCAGAACGGGTAACACTATCTCTCAGAGGTTCGTTCCACTGCATTATTAAAACCCGTTAGTGTTATGCAGCATGGTACTATCTTATCCTCGAGTCTCATCTATATGAGGACTCGTGGATGAATAATACACGTGCCACTTCCATCATCCACCATTATTCTTTTTACATCGGTATCCGCGATACATAAAGTTATAACCAAAGCATCATAGTGAGGAAAAGACAAATTGTTAGTATCTAACTTATCAAAGATGATACTATCTTCAAGGTCGTCGTACCGTTCGTCAGCGACTGTCTGCTTGAGTTTGTGTGTGGTGGTGAATTTCACATGGTTGATTACTATATCATCGCCGCCGCCAATGATCATTTGTATGGTACGAGGTGGTGAAGGTGGTTTTGGGGGTCCTTGAGGTTGATCGCATCCACGAGTGAGGTTAACCCATCCTCGATCGCTCAGCAGTTCTTTCAGATATCCCTAATTAAGCATTCTTACCACTTCATGTCGCAGACCTATGCAGTCTTCGGTCTTGTGCCCTCTTTCCTGGTGGAATTCACATAGAACGTTTGATATCCGGGTGCTCGGGTCTGACTTCATCTTTTGCGGCCACTGCACCTTTGTGCCAAGCTTTTGTAGTGCATACACTATTTCTGAAGGAGAAACACAAAAGTTATGAGCAGATAACAGTGGAGGCATACCTCTTTCATTTTGATGTGTCGCGGTATGTCGAGGCGTGGCATCTGCATGTCGCAGAGGAGGTGGGATAGATGTTCGAATGTAGGGCTGATGCCTTTCACGATTGAAACGAGATAGTTGGTCCCTTCGACCATCATTGCGGCGATCTCTCCTCGTTTCGGTTTGGACCGATGTTAGCCGTTGGATCAGACCATTTAGGTCATCTTCGTCTGCCCTTATTTCGGCACAATAGCATTATGGATTTCTTCCCATGTGGAGGGAGGGTATTTCATGAGTCTACTTAGCAACTTCTTGGTTGCTTTTGACCCGTTTCTATTTAACTCATTTTGGAAGGCTGCTACCGCCATCCCTTCTGATACATTTGGTAGGCTCATTCTTACCCTGTTGAAATGGGCTAGGAAATCCCGAAGCCCTTCATCTGTCGTCTGCCTTATGGCGAAGATATCATTTACCTTGGCCTCTGCCTTTTTCGCTCCCGCGTGAGCAGTGGTGAATTTATTTGCCATTTCTTCGAACGTTGATATTGATCGTGCTGGTAGTTGGGAATACCATGTCAACGCTCCCCCGATCAGAGTTTCGCCAAACTTTTTCAGCAGCACCGATGGCAACTGTTCTTTTGACAGATCGTTGCCTTTTACTGCAGTGATGTAGTGGATTATGTGATCTTCCGGCCCGTGGTGCCATCATATATTTTCAAGTATGGCGGAATTTTGAAGGTTTTCGGAATAAAGTGGGGAGCCGTCCCTCCACTGTATGGTTGTTCGACGAATCGGCCTACGTCACGTTTTGGTAGCAGCTTCGGAGCGCCCGGTATTTTATGGACCCTTTCCTGATGCTCCTTTATCTGATCGCAGAGCGTTTTGTTCTCATTTTTCATCTCTTCCATTTTCTTTAAGATGGACGTAAGTGCATCGTTACTGCATCAATGACAGTATGAGTGTTACCTGTGCGTGGAGTTTCTGGCTCATCGTCGACAATTGCGGTTTCTGCGGGTATTGTGCCTCCGGTATCCCTTTGAACGGGTTTGTCAAGTATGCTACTTAAGGTGTTTGTCAACCACTCTTCTAATAGCCTTTTCACAACCGATGGTGCTTCTTCTGCTGCGGATGTTGAGGTTTCCCTCTCGTGCGAGTCAGTCACGCTTTCGTGCCGGGGGGGGGGGGGGGGGGTTGAGGCATCTCCCTCAGGTGTAATGCTTGGCGTTACATTTTCATTGTCTTCCCTGTCGGCTACTACTATTGCCTTTAGTCTTACTTCCCCCTTTCCTGTCATTGTTGGTCTTTCCGAGGTTAAGAAGAGTTGATTATCCCTTTCAAGGATCTAGACAAACTAAAATCTCAGCTATAGAAATCCTCACAGACGGCGCCAAATTGTTTGACTCAAAAAATATTGAAACCTTTTTGAACAAATCAATCAAAGAAAATGAAGGGGTACATCTTAGCTAAGTATAATAATCTCTAGAACAAAAGGTATACAAGGTGAACACAGAGGATAATACTTCTTGATCTTGTGAGGATGAGTGATCAAATAATAAAGATACTAATCGTTTATGTAGGCAAGTATTACAGTGAATGTTCTCAGCTGAAAAAGCAGAAAAAAGAGAGCCCCTTACAAGGTTGTTTTTCCACTATATATATATATATATAAGGGACAAACCCCTTCTAAACCCTAAAAACAAATCATAGGGAATATTTGAAGGAATATTCCTAATGCCCCCTCATGCACCTACACTACTGTAAAAGTCGTGTAGTCTTTGTTTGCTTGTCTGTCGTCCTCAGCAGAACGTTGAGCTACGAGGATCTCGTTGTTTGTCGTATTCATCAACGGCCGTAGTCATCCAAATTTAGACCCATACAATGAAGTAGTACTTGTTTGAACTAAATTTGCTAGTATAAAACCAGTCATTTGCTCTCTTTAGCAAACAATAAATGGCAAAATCCCAATTGCCAAAACTGTGTAAAAAAAAAAGGATCCTAAATCATACTCCATTTCACTATTTAGGCAAACCGAAGAAATTTTTTGCATGCAAAATATAAATATGATTCAGTTGGTTTTATAGAGAGTACATCACATTCAGAGCAGTTTTCATAAATTAGATGGCAGATAATGACATTATGGTTGGACACATATATTATATTTTTCATATGGTGTCATCTGCCGCTTCACCAATTTTTTTATTTATTAAATGTGTATATANTGAAAGTAATTAAAGTTTTATTTGAAACCCACAACCTCAAATCCAAACCAATGTACTAGCTCAATGGGATACATGACAACGATCTTTGTTGTTTAATGCAACAAGACATAGCCGCAAATTGAGGATTTAAATTTGATTCGATCTTTATAGTTTTAAGTATTGGAGCCATTTCTTCTTATAACTATAATGTCCAAGTCAGTTTGTGTGCGCCTCGATTGATTCCACGGGATATTTGGCAAACTCATGGATTCGGAATTCTAATCGTTTGAGTTACTGAGTTCTAAACTGTTAAATTATAGATAATCAATAAATTTTTCAAGACAAATACATGGTTTGAACCAAAGCTACTGGGTTCGCCGAACTCGTAGCCAGAACATTAGTTCCGCCCCTAAAAACATGTATCAGGGAATATCCACCAAAACTAGGATAGATGGTAATTAAGAAATCACTTAGTGTTTTTTTGCCTCCAGTAGAATTGAATTGAAACCTTATGGTTCTCATCCACTTCACTGTTGTTCAATGCTATAACCAGGGGCGCATACACCTTATATCATGCCGTGTCACGGATTACCACTTGGTCAAAAATATTCTCTAAATATTTATAAGAAAAATAAAAATGTTAGGAATACGTATAGAAAATGGCATCGTTTGTCATTATATATATATATATATATATATATATATATATATATATATATCCATTTCTTCTAATATTATGACACCGCTTACATAAGATCCTATGTACGCCATGGCTACAACATGATGTAGGGGTTACAAACGATCTTTGTTGTTCAGTGCTACCAAAAGCGGATCTAAGATTTTAATTCTATGGGTTCAATATTTAAATTTTTTAGCATTGAATACATTATATTTTTAAAGTTATGAGTTCATATTTATTATTTATTATAATTTAGTATTTTTTACACATAAATTTATACTCTGCGCCAAAAGTATTGGGTTCTGTTGAACCCGATAACTCTATATTGCATCAGCCCCTGAATGTTACAATACGATATATAGGCGAATCGAGAATTTAAATTTTATTCGATCTTTAAAGTTTTAAGTACCCCGAAATTGTGAAGCCGGTTCGTACTGTCGATTAGGGGTGTTAATGGTTCGGTTCGGGCTGTTATTTTATAAAATTTGTACCATACCACTTTTTCGGTTATTCTATTATGTATAACCAAAATTAGACTTATAGAAACCGCACCAATCATGTCAGTTTCTCTTCAGTGTTGGTATGGTTCGGTTAATTTTTGATATTTTTTTAAATGTCATTCAAAAGTTACTAGTAGAAGCAGAATGCAATAACATACGTACTTTTATAGGACAGAGCAAAACTCTTTGGATATTTTTCTATTTACAGGGTGATGAATTAACAAAATATGAGAGATGGTGAGAGTATGGACCCATCAACTATTCTACAACAGTGCAAAAGAAACTAAGCAAAGAAACAAAAATATAAATCACACGAGTGAAAAGATATTAAGCAAGTTGGGACTCAAGAATAAAGTCTACAGAAGATTAAATATTTAAAAATATAAATTTGAATTATACAAAAGGAAACATATTCAATATATTGTAGTTTGCTACTCATAATCGCTAGAATACATTGTGTCTTGCTAGTGAATATGCTAGAATAATTTAATTCCAATAGAAGTAGTATAATAGGTTTGGGAATTAGGATTTTGAGTTCAATTACTTGTTGGCTTGTAATCATTTTCGTAATTCTAAGGCCCAAAGGAAAGTTTATACTTTATTATTTTTAAACTTAATATATAAATATATTTATTTCATATAAATTTATTCGGTACGGTTTGGTATTTTTTTCATAAAATAAAAAATCAACCCTAATTATCGGTACGGTTAAAGATTTATATAAAAACCTATGATTTTATTAAAAAAATCTAAAAATCGATTCGGTGTGATACGATTCAGTCGATTTAGTCGATTTTAAATATCCATTGACACCCCTATGGTTGATGTTGTGTTAGTCTTGTCCTCTCCGTCTTATATTTAATTTTATCCCAAAAAAGAAAAAGAAAAAAAAATGAGGCGTTAGCAAAAGATTAAACGGCAACCATAATGACTACTTGGCTTATTCTTTGACAGAATTATTATATTTTTGAGTGCCGCACAGCCAGCTAACCAGTAATTAGGAGTCTTCATCCTTTGATTTGAGTCGATTTTTTCTCTAAAAAGAATTAAACCAAGGCTTGCCATTCGGATGAAAGGAATATCATCCTAATAAAAGTCTGATTCTTCCCTTATCAATGTTTGAGATGCTTGATTGTGCCAATTTTCCTAGTTGACAATATGACTTTTATGCCTTGCGGCAGCTCGAAACAAGATTTCAGTGATTCCGTCTTCTATTAATTTTTTATTCAAATTCAATTCCAACAAATAAAATAGAAAATTCTTGAGTAGTCTACTTCCCTTTGAATGATAAATCCCTTAACTCTTAATAATTAAAGGAATACCTTGGAACCCATAAGGGATTTACTTGTCTATATATTGTTCCATTCGATCTTTTAGGTCCCGACTTCACCTCGATGGTTAGGCCACCACGCCCTTAAAGTCTATACGCGATAGATAGACTCCTAGAACCATGACATATTTGCNTTTAATAATTAAAGGAATAACTTGGATTAAATTTTTTCAGCTTTTTCAATTTTTTGTCGATTTTTCTTAACAGCTTGTTTGGATGGTTGTTACCCATTGTATCGTATCATATTGTTACTTTAAATATAATGTTTGTTTTGATTGTTACTTAAATTTTATTGTATCGTATCGTTAAATCCGTCGTTACATAACAACGAAATGTGCCACTTTATGTAACGACCGATTTGGTGTGGTCGCGTCGTTACCTTGTCTTTTACTCTCAATCTCACCCTTTATTATTATTAAATTTTATTTTATCATTTACGCAATCTTTTTATATAGTAATTTTACCTTGTATCATAATTTTTCTTTATAATATTGCAAGTTTATTCTTTATATTGCTGGTGCGTGATATCATGAAACGATGTCAAACGACACAATCTATCCAAACATTGTATTTATCAAACGATACAGTACAATACAATACAGTACGATACGATACATTATGAAACGATACGTAACAACCATCCAAACAAGCTATAAATAGAGACCAAAGTGGATTCATGTGTAACCAAATTTTCCTCATCTTTAATTTGTTTTTTGGTCACAACATAAAAATTATTTGGATGGAGACACATATTTAAGGTGTGCACAAAGTCATTTAATTACCTATATATATATNCGCTTGTATCACTTTTGCATGTGTGA